CATACATGGACAGGTCAAATGACATTCTCCTTACTTATAACCAAGGGAAGCAGTTCCCACAATGGCCAAGATGAAACAAGCAACTTGAAGAAAGGAATAATGAAATTCAACAAACATCTCAAAGTCAAACATGTCTCCTCCAACAAAGAGACTTAAATTACCACTTTCTGCTAATAAACACTAAGAAAACACCAGAATCTGTACAGTAACTGAACAATAATGGTTGAGGTGGAGGTGGGTCTTGTTCTATTCTATTTTTCTGCCTTGCAAGTTACAGTTCTACAACTCACTACAGCATTTGCCTTGCCTGTAGCATGTGTTGGCTCATATTCAACTTCAGATTCAAAATATCCCACACGTTTTCTTCCCAAGGACTGATACTCAGTCACATGCCCTACATCTTGCATTTGCGCCTTCAATTATTCTTATGGAAAAAAAAAGACAATTCAGAAATAAAAAAAAGGGATGTCCTACATTTCAGTATCAGTATCTCCATTTTTTGTTCAAACATTTTTAAATTCTACCTTACACCTCACATGCAGTTAACGAAATTATAACTGCTGCTACCTCTTTGCCAGGACTTCAGACAAAGATCCTAACCACTTGTCTTAACTAATTGCAAAATTATACTTCAGAGCTTGCCTTCCTTTCTGGGAACTGAAAGCTCCTCCTGCTGGCCTTTTCTTGAACTAAAGACAAACCAAAATAAATATTTGCCAAACCAAGGAAATACAAAAATGCAACAACAACATTAGTGGTATTTTAGTATCTTTCGGTATTTGCTGTTGAGACAAACACAGCTAAGAAAAAAAACTCACTCTACAGGAAGCACAGAATAAAAGATAACTCCAAGGATTTGCCTAAAAGAAACAGATTATCCATGCTATCAGAAACAGATAGCGTGAACTCCAAATTTTTTCTTTGCATGGCAAACAATCTACTGCTCTGGCATAAAAACAGCAATTCTTAATTATTTTCCTACTGTAGTTGAGGAATAAAACAAGCTAGAAATATCACCTAAAAGGTAGGAAATCCAAAGATGACTCAGTCACAAACATAACTGATAAGGTAACTTTATGTGAGAAGAGTTAAGAAACTACCAGAATTTTCGTTCTGGTGTGATTCTTGTTCTAACAAGGTGTGATTCGCATAAAGAACCAAAAGTTGACTTTATTGCTCAAAAAAATAAGTTTTATGAGGGTAACTATTCCATTTTGATGGGCTTAAAAACAAGAACAAAACACAACAGGTTAAGAACCAAGAGTAGACTAGCAAAGCTCTACTAGAAAACTAGTATTTCTCTCTCCTGTATCTCTTCAGCAGAGGCTCAAAGCAGATTTCCACATTATTTGTTTGAGCCAAACACAGCCCAGTTTGAGCTACCAGACTGTACAAATTCAGATAATCTTGTAATTCTTTCAAGTGACTACTGAGTACAAGAGAGACGTGAGATGTGTTAAACTATTAACATATACATATTAAAACTATTCATGTATACGCAGATGAACATCCACTTAAAGCCAGCAAATATCCATCAGTAGCAACACCCTCAAATCTGAGGCTGCCAAATATTTCAAAGTCTTAGGAGAAGAAATGCCAGCAGAATAGTACTATCACCCAACTCTCAGTATTTTGAATGCAACTTACTTGCACCCTAAAAAAAACTGAAGTCTTTTCACTGCCCTTGTTTTTTTTTTGATCCCCGCTACTATTCCTCACAACCTCAGAAAAACATTTTAAAATTATTTTGAAAAAAAAAAAAAAAAGAAAAACAAAAACCCCAAACCCTAAAGTTCTATATTCTAGGAAGAGAAGTCCATCCCAACCAGTATGAAATAAATGAGATCACGGTACCAAGACACCAATTTTCAGTTCAGTGAGCAACTCTTTCATTCTAACGAGACCCAAAATAAAAGCTCAAATTATTCACATCTTCTGTGTACTCTGTGATGTCACAAAGTTTTCAACAGTCTCTGGAAGCTAATTTATCACTGACTGCACTGACTTCATAACTGAAGTCCCCGTAATACACCGTTAAGGTCAGCCTTTAAAGATGACACATCTCTCTCTCTAGGTCACTTCCCCACGTTTTGCAACCAACTTTCACTAGAGCTCGGCACCACTTGCAGATGAGTCAACACATTCTTAATCCTACCTTTTTGATTTATCAGTAACTCAAACTGGTAATTGCATTTTTCCACTTCAATGAGTTAGATGAACTCAGAAATTCTCCTATCTGCTTTCTTTGCCTGGAACTGCCAGATTGTTTATTAAACCGCCATAAATAGCTGCAAGCTTCAGAAAAGTGAAAGCACTATTTAGATGGCCAAAAGATTTTTGAGGCAAGTTAATCCAACCTTGCTGATAACAAATCCCTACTTATTTACTGAACACCTATTCTCTTTTTCCCCTACTCGTCATCAAGTCTGCCAAATCAACCCTCCTATTCCTGTCCCCTCCAGATCCTTTCCCTTCTGCTTGTGCGAGGCAGGAACTTTCCAGGGTTGCATTTCATAGAAAGCTTTCCCTTCTCAGGCACAGGATGGAGTTGAGCCCTGAACTCCCAAGATGGTGCATCTTCTCGTTCAGTACGGACAGCAGAGTGCACTGCCTGCAAAAAATGAGTTTTCACTCAAAAGGAAAGAAACGGCACATGCAGAGAAAGTTACATTAGTTATTCCCTCATTGTCCATACTGCTCACCTACAGCAGAAATAATGCTACCCCTCAGAGCTTCCTCCAGCATTCCCCACTCCTATTCATCTAGCTCAGCAGTCCTGATAAGTAAGCCAGTCGCCAGCCACTATCACTGCTCAATTAAACAGCCACGTCAACGGGGAGGGATTAATTACTTGGGTACTTGGAAGACCTGTGAGACCTTTAGCAAGATATAAGAAAGAGATGATAAGCAGAATTGTCTGTGCTCTACATATCCATTCCTCAGCAGGGGAAAGGGTAACCAGCAAATTATTAAAAATACAGTAATCAAAAAAAGTTATTTCAATATTTTTCTGGAAAATATGCATAAGTCTGTGGTACTCAATTTATGATATCATTCAGCCCCTGAGTTTAATAACAAACTCAGCTCTAACATTTAAGCATGTGACATCTATGCTTGCATAAGAGAAAACGGGATGCAAACCACAGTTTTCCAGAATATTTTTAGTTTTCTTTTTGAAGCAGCAGAACCTGGCTTTGGTGGTGACTCCCAGCAACACTGGAAATGATCACAAGCAAAACAACCAAGATCTTGTGCTCCTGCAGTTAATATAACGCATATAATATACTTTGTATGTGGGTATGAAGAGATAAAAAAAAGTAATTTATTATGCAAGCTGTTTTTAGAACTCTGAGACTCTGCAATACTCTTAACCTCATCTTGTACGACTGAGGCTTGTGATCCAGGGTACTGTACATTCCTCCTCTGTCCTGCAGTTCTACCAGCCAGGGGGGTTCTGTCATCTCACATCATCAACAAGCAGAACGTCTTGCACCATGAAAAACATGGCTTGGAAAGGTAACTCAAGTATTAATGCCCAATTTTGTCAATTTAAAAGTGCAGGAAAAAACTCTGCATCTACATTGTTGAATTAAGTCAGTATCTAGACCTTCTTACACAAAAAGGTATTTTTAAAGACCTGTCCAGTTTCCACAGTAATCTATTATCACCAAGAACTGATTAGGAATTTAAAAGCAAATGAACTGTGCTTGTCTGACATAAGGTTATTTCCCCAAACCAGCCTGACATTTCACGACAGACACGCTTCCCAAACAAATAAATCATATGTGTAAAATAGAATTAAGGCTTATTTGTTTCAGACCTCAAACTCAGAAGCGCTATGTGCAAACACTGGCAAGTACACAGAGAAAAAAAATAATGATAATAATAATCCATTTCACAAGCAAAACTACCCCTACAAGTTACTCCGACGTTTGCCTCCTGAGCCTAAGGAAATAGGGAAAAAATAAAAGGGGAATAACCTCACTGTACTAAGTTCAAGGGCCCAGAGTGGGCTCAGAGGATGAGTCCATCATCTCCAGGAGGCAAACCAGGGAGGTGTGGGACTAGGGGAGCGCGGAGGGAAGGGCGGAGCCGCTCCGCCATCGCGGACCCACACCGCCACCCCCCGGCGGCTCCGCGGCCCGGGGGGTGGGAATAAATAAATTAAAAAATAAAATTAAAAAAAAAATCCCGAATACGATTGTCCTTGGTAGTAAAACTACGTTGTCAATCGGCTGACGAACGGCAGGAAAAAAAAAATATTCCAACTATTCCAAGAGCCGCGTACAGGAAAAATCAGTGTTTTCCTGTCGCTCTGCCTAAAACGCACAGGAAAAAAAAAAAAAAAAAAAAAAAAAAAAAAAAAGAAAAAAAGAAAAACGTGAGTCATCATTGAGCTGCCATAAAGACACTATTTAACTTCCCACGTACAGCAAAGTCACCTAAAGAGAATATAAACAGCTTGAAACTTACACCGGGAAGCCCGAGAAGCGAGTTATTCATTAAATGGTATGAAACCCGCACAGGGTGGAAACCCAACCCCAGTGAAACAGCATTCTGCATCACGGCCTACAGAAAATAATGGCAATCCCAGGAAACATCACCCCCCGGTACACACACCACAGAACGGGAGGGGTAGCCAGAATAAAATTTTAAAAAGAAAGAAAATTCACCACCTCTCTTGTTTCGGAATAAGAAACACAAGCCGAGTCTGTAAAATAGTTGGGTGGGTTTGGGTTGGTGTTTTTTTATTATTATTATTATGTGCATAAACGTTTAAGAAAAGTGCTTCTTTTATGCAAGAGGAATAGAAACAAGGAAAATGTTAAGCAACCCTCCCAAAATTTCTGGGTTTCCCCTTGGCGGAGAGAAAGGAGGGGGGGGAATAAAAACTGGTAGAGAGAGAGTTGTGTTCCCGGTGGTGTCTATTAAAAAGTAACCCGGAGCTCCGCACCTCCCCTACCGTGATGAATCACCGCCCGCCCCGCACCGAGCCTTACCTTAAAATTACTGGAGTTGACCCACGTTGTTAACTCGTCGATGACTTTATCCAGGCGCTGCTGGTCCTGCTCCAGGTCGGGGGACCTCGCCGGGTCCCCCAGGTACTCCAGCAGCTCCTGGCCCACCTGCATCCTGCGGCCCACGTCCTTCTGCTGCACCTGGTCGCAGAAATAATCCATCCCGGCCCCCTCCATGTCCCGGGTCGAGGGATTTTGGGGGGAAAAAAAAAAAAAAAGTTTCTTCGGGGAGACGAAACCGACCCCCGACGGCTTCAGGGCGGGGAGGGCGGGC